AAAGGGTCATTTTGATTCAATCAAAGTAAAAGCTAAATTCTGGACCGAGGCGGTGAAATGTGATACGTGGATCACAACACGGAACTGGTGACAAAACTACAATGGCTAAAGAAAAACAACGCTATTGAGCGCGTATTGTGTAAATTATGAACTTGGGACCGGTTAAAGATCTGTTTATTTAGTTGGAGGAAGCCTAAGTACTAAAAATCTACGAAGAGCAGTCAGTCGCCTCAAGCAATAGCAACTGATTGTACTGTTCTTAATCTTATAAGTATTTTTTTTATAGAATAAGGGTGACAAACGAGCACACAGTCCCCCTAAGAGTAAGTGAATGTTGTTTCACATAGACTTCTACATCTATCTATCCTAGATTAAGAATAAAAATATAGATGCGTTGTAACATCTCAGGAATAAGATGAAATGTCTCGCCTCCAGTAAAAAGAGTCTGTGGTTCTCTTCTTCCACTTCTCAAAGTGCGATCTTCTTTCGAAGGTCGGCGATCATTAAGGCAACAAACGGCTCTCAATAAGGACCGGGTGCTCTTTCCAAACCATTGGCGTAGGTTTTTCTGCGAAGATGTTCTGCGACCCACACTTCGTTTTCCTTGGATCTTGCCCTGTTTGATAAGTTGCAGGAGATCGTATTTTCTGTTTCTCATTATGTGGCCGAGATATTCAAGCTTTCTTTTCTTTACTAAATATACAACTTCTGGTTTTTTCTTTATGCGACTTAGCACTGTTACGTTCTTTATTTTGTCTCTCCCAGGATATCCTTAACATTCTCCTGTATACCCACATTTCAAAGGCTTCAATCTTCTTACAGCTCGATTCTGTGAGAGTCCATGCTTCAACGCCATACAAAAGAAAGGAGAAAACATAACAGCGTGCTAATCGTACTCGTATCTGGATGTTCAGATTTTTATTGCACAGAGGTGACTTAAGCTTAAAGAAAGCATTACGGGCTTGTTCTATGCGGCACCTTATTTCAAGACTGTGGTCTCCCGTATCATCAACCCAGCATCCCAAATATTTGTATTTGCTAACTTTTTGTAGTGGCTGTCCATTACACAGTAGAGAAGGGTTAGCAGATGGTGTTTTACAAACTGTCATATATTTGGTTTTTCTGGTGTTGATACTGAGGCCATACGCTGAACTAACAGATTGAATTTTATCTATAAGGATCCGGAAAATCATCTCTGAGTAAATGTTGAAAAGAATTGGCGAGAGAATACATCCCTGCCGTACACCACGTAAGATTTCCGAGTCATCTGTTAGTTTGCCCTCTATACGTACATTCGCCAATTGGTTCCGATATAGGTGTTTAATGAACCTTAAGTCCTTAGAGTCGAGTCCGATGGATTGTAATATATCAATCATTCTTGCATGCTGTACTCTATCGAATGCTTTTTCATAATCGATAAAACATACAAACACATCTTGATTTATGCCCCAGTATCTCTGTATTAAAACTTGATACTCGAAAAGTGCATCTCTCGTTCCCAGGCCATTGACGAACCCAAACTGTGTTCTTGAAATGAGGTCTTCACATCTGCTATAAATTCTTTTATGAATTACCTTAAGGAATAATTTTAGGATATGACTCATTAAGAGATTGTTCTATATTCGCTGCATTTATTCGCAGAAGCAACTTTGGGCAATGTGACAAAGGTGGATTTGAGCCAATCCGATGGTATGGCGCCCGAATCATATGTAGTGTTAAATAACTTTACTATTATTCATAAGTTAGCATATTCAAGTAATTTAAACAGTTCCACGGGTAATTCATCTCCGCCTACAGATTTTCCTGATTTGGACATGTTAATGGCATAGGCAATTTCGCTTTTATTAATAGGTGGTCCAGTCAATTCACTTCCACATGAACTTGGTTCCAGAGCAGGTCTAATGTCATGGAAGAGTGTTGTTATGTATTTCTGCCAAATATTAAGTTTATCTTCTATTATTTTGGCAGGATTTCCCTGATCATCCAGTAATACGTTACAGTTCATGTTTGGTGTTTTAACAGTACCGGTTATTTCTCTGATTTTCTTATGCACATTAAAAGAATTATATCTGGCCTCAAACTCTTCTATCGCAATACATTGGTCAACCATCCATTTTTTCTTCCGCTTCAACTACTTTTCTTTGGATTATCTTGTGTATGGTTTTGTATTGTTGATCGTCTACTCTTTTGTATGTTCTACGCTGTTCCATTAGTTTTAGGATCTCCTGCGTGATCCAGCGGTTTTTTGTTTCATGGTTTAATGGTCGGAGGATTCTTTCACCAATATCAACAAGATTTTCCTTTAATTTAGGTTATATTTTGGTTCTCTACACTAACGTTTCGAAACACAGCAGCGTTTAACTGCTATTTTATGCTGGTATAGTCTAAGAGCGTCGTCCTTCCCGGCCGAGCTGACACTTTCGTAGTATATACCCATAATATAGTTGTAGCACGGCTCTATCCCATGTCTAGGCTTCTTTTATTAAAATTAATTATGAAACTGGATAACTACATAATGCTTAAATATTTTTACCTCTCCGATCATTTTTCATTTTCAACATAAGTTTATAAAAAATCTGATGAGGTGATGAGTTTTTAAGTGTAACCTTACCTTATATATAAATTACACTAGAAGACATTTAAGTAATTATCAGTAGATTACAATCCGTCAAAGCAAATAAGAACCGATTAGTGATTTTATTTTAGAGAAACATTTTTTTAATTTTTAATATATAGAAAACGAGTATAAAGTCAACTGATGGTAAGTGAATGCTGTGGCCGGTAAACATCTATATTTATTCTTAGTTTCACTAACAAGTCAGCTCTGAAAGTTTCGATATAAAAACAATCAATCTACAGAACGGAACTGTAATTAAAACAAACAATGTAAACCTATCTAAAACTTCGCAATCGGTTGTTTTAAATTTTAATCGAAGCTGTCGTTTATACGATCTGAACAAAAGTTGTAACCGCGTCGCTTGCGACGTGTCACAAAGGTCTTTAAAAAGATTGGTGAAGTTGAATTGGTCTGGAGATTAAAAAGATTGAAATAACTTCAAACTTTTCACTATGCTTATACAAAACCTATTATGAAAATAATTTTTTTACAGAATAATATAATTGTACATAATACCATTAACAAACGAGCGCACAGTCTACCTTATTGTATGTTTATACAGTGGCCCATAGACGTCTATATTTATCCTCGATTAAGATTCAATATGTAGTAAGTATGCATTATCACCCCAGAGGACTACAATAGAATGCCTTCCAAAAAAAGGGTCTTTAGCTATCTACACTTACCATATGAAACACAACAGCATTAAGCTACTATTTTACGGTGGTATACTGTGAAAGTGTGGCCCTACCCAGCTGAACCACTTGTGCTACAACTTAATAAAGCTGTAACGTGGCTCTACCACGTGTAAATTTTTTTTTGCAATATTTACTTACTACGTTATGCATAAAGATTTGAAGCATCTTTTGACTGTCTTATTCTTATAAATTTGAAAGTATTTTGGTTAGTATTTCTTAATATTTATATTTAAAAATATTTCAAAATATAATTAATTATATATATGAAAATATTTCTTAATATATATTTAATAATTAATATATATTCATAAATATATTTATATAGCTCTATAATAACAATCTATTCTGGGAAACTATTTATAAACATAGTTATAACACGTTATCAAAACGTAAAAGCTAGTTTGTAAAATTAGTTCTATAAAAAACTTTAAGGGCTCAGACTCCTGTTTTTAGTTCTCTATTTCTAGCGCGAAGTTTATTACTTCAACGAAGATCCCACGCTGAGTAACGCATCTGCACTGTAAAATCATAGAATATGAGTACATTGAAGTAGAAAGGCATTTTTAGTTTATTTAGAAAACTAGCACTGTATTTTTTATATAATAATGGTAAAAAACGAGCAAACGAGCACAGTCAAAGACATCTACACAAATCCTCGATTAAAAATCAAGATGCAGACGCGTTGTCACTCGTGAGGACTAAGACGGAATGCCTCGTTTCCGGTGAAATGGTCTCTGGTTTTTCCCAATCACTGTACTAAAGACAGTAGCATTAAGCTACTATTTCACGCTGCTATTCTGTGAGAACGTGGTTCTACCCCGGTCGAGCCGTCCCATTCGTTCTACAACCATAATGTAGTTGCAGTGTGGGTCTGCCACGTACCATTTCAAATAAATTTTTCGACTACTTATGGAAAAAATCGAGAGAATTCTCATAATCGATATCCTGTTAAAATTTACTGGGAGACAAGTTATTATTGCATCAACCAATCGAAAATTAATACAAGCTATGTTTTGGTTGTGAAATAATTTCTTTTGTATGAAGTCTTTGATTTATTTTACGTTACTTTTAAATAAATATTTTAACATTTTTCCTACAAAATCATGAACAAGAAGACAGATTTATGCGACAATAGTGCATGGCATTTATCTTTGTAGGCCGCATTAAACATTTTAATTTTAAATTCGTCTTTTATGGCGACACGCAGTGAATGTGGAACACGTGTTTACCACAAGCGTTGCATGTGTTTTCCCTATTATTTTTACAAATAAATTGCACGGTATATAATCGTATACCGGGTTCAAACGTTGTGTAGTTCTGTTTCGGCTGCTTCTAAATTAAGATCGACCTCGCGTCACGATGCGTGCGCGCATACCCGACCGCCGCACAACAAAAATCAAACGTAGTACATATTATATTTTTTCAACGAATTTTTCGAACGCATCTCTGTCGAATTGGCCACTATTTATGAATTTACCGCTAATTTTTAACGGATAGCATGGTAAGTGGTTTTTGGATTTTTACATTTTTTATTAATAGAAAAAGAAATCATCTTGGTAGCACACTGAATGAAAATGACGATTGTGTAATGTAATATGTCATATGTGTACATTAATTGACGTACGTTTGATTCCAGTCTGTGAAGTGAACTTTGTGATTTATAAAAGTGGAGTACAGGATATAAAATGAAGTTCTCGATTGACGTATTGGGCGTGTTCCTCAAAGTAGTGATAAAGGTAAGCTTTGTAACAATCAGGACCTATTCTTGTCTTCAGCAAAATTTCTTGGTCTAGGTCGAATCTATTACTTGATAAAATAGATCGCGATCGATGTTACGTAAAGTTTGTTTATTGATTGAAGAGTATTAATGAAAAAGAGACCATAGAGTTTTTTTATTGCTCAAGTCGAGTTTTTTATGTTAAAATCTATATTGATAGGCTTAAAATTGTTCGTATAAGATTAATCTACTCTTCTGTACTTATATTATATAAAATAACGATTCATATAATATTACACTAAGTACACATCAAATCATATCATATTATTTATAGCATGATCCATATACCCCTGTTATAGGGCTCTGCAAATGGAACAAACATCTAATAGCGGTAACAAGTGTCTCTTTTCTCTACGGATAATAGGAGAGGGAGTTATTTGTGGATAATTTTAATCGAGAATAATAATAATAATAATAATAATAATTTTTATTGACACCAAGTAAGGATTACATTATTTATCTTTAAGACATTTGAACAGTTATAACTCATTTATACAATTTTATACACTAGCGTCTAAACTAGGCCGAGCCTGTATCTTAGACACTAGTCACTTCCAAAGGCACCATTATTTAATTATAAAAGCATACGGCATATTATGATTCACCTAATCTATGTTTTACGTTACAAATTCGTAAATACATTATCACTTTTTTGCGATTACCGTCATACTAACTTATTATGCGTATGAAAGGTTAGACTACTATTTATAGGAACATTTTTAATTTCTTAATTTGTCCAATAAATGATTATTGTTATCACAAGTCAGAGAACTATTTCTTTTGGTGATAGGTTACAATGAAGTATTGCAAAGATATATGATATAAAATTTTAGTAATTCTATAGGTATTTAACAAAAACTTATGCAATGTACAGTGAACAGTCAATACATATTATATAATTATTTAATTCATGGTTTTTGCAAAGGTTTTTTTTAATTACATTTAGATTTAATTAAATATAGTTATATAAATAGCTATATAAGTGAAAATTTTTAATTATTATAGATAAAGTACTTTTAGTAGAATTTAGAATTTAGAATTAAGAATAGATTTAAGAATCTAAGGATTACCGTAGTCACGTGCTATAAATTACTCTGTGGACTTATTACTCGTATACTTCCACTATTAAAAGTAAAGGTCAGGTGTCAGATATACAGATTACCTCAACTACTTTCCTACTTGGTAGAGCAACGCTGCAATGCATTACGACTGTATCACAAATGGATCGGCTCCAACAGCAATAGTAGAATAATACTGCTCTGTTTTGTGTGCTGAGTGTAGATTGAAAAAGTTTGAATTCCACAGATGTTCAGGTGTCCTGTGATAAATCAGCTAGTCTCACTTTAATAAAACATAAAAGAAAGAGTTTCTGAGCCGAATTCATGGCAAGCAAATTATAGGCAAGTTAACAGAAAGCAATTGGATCGCTTCAGATGTGCAAAGCTGAACCGAAATCGGGAAGTTTGTGACCACGCATAATAAAAATAGGGAAATTATCTGTAAGGTCTGGAAAATATATTATTTCTAAATAAATATATAGATATCTTATAGATAGTTATCTTATATATGAATTCTAGGCCATAGAAATCTTACTAGCACTTTTCTTACTAAAGAAAATCAATAACATTCATATATACTCTCCGTTTATTACACAATAATGCTAAATACAAATTCCTTGTGGAATCGACTACCAACAGAGATTTTGCCGGATCGATTCGACTTAAAAGAGAGAGAGAAAAGAGCCTCCTCCGTTTTAAAAGGCCGGCAACGCATCTGGAATTCCCCTGTAGTTATTCATGGGCGGCGGTAATCACTTACTGTTAGGTGAACCGTATGCTCGTTTGCTACCTCTCCTATATAAAGTTCTATGTGGAAACAGAAACACCTTTATGTGTAGTATAGCCATATTATAACTACATAATGAGGTAGTACCAATAAGTCGGCTCGACCAAGGAAGGACCACGCCCTCATAGAATACCAGCGTGAAATAGCAGTTTATTGCTACTGTTTCGTAAGAAACCGGAGATCCTTTTTACTGGAAACTAGACACTTAATTTTAATCCTCGGAGGGTCCAAATATGTAGGTGTGATTCTTAGTCGAAGATAGATTTATCAAGTGGATTGGTTGCTCGTTTGACACCCTTATTATATAAAAAAAAACCTTTTATGTTCATTCTCATTGCGGTAATTTTTATTTACCCGTGATAAAAAATATCCCATGACCACGCATTTTTTCAAAGATGGTCTACTTTTGTTAATTTCATTCATATGTGAGAAACAAATATTCAGTTTTACAAACTTTGAAATTAGGTCATAGATGTATTGGCAATTTATTGGCAATTGTTCCATAATTTTGAAATCATAATATTAATTTCCCGTGTAGTGGGGATTCACCTCATGTTTAATCTCGTGAGTGTCTTAGGAGTCCGCCATTGGGAAACCTCAGAAAGATCTCATGGTATCTGATAATGGCGGTATTAACATTTCGTTTAAGCCACCGCCGGACTTGACTTCAAATTGCTTCAAATATGAAAGTGATGGAGACGCAGATGGACATAGTGTCATCGTCACTGAAAAGTTGCTTTTTAAATATAAATTTATCGCTTTGTAGTGCCTGATAGCTGTATCTTTTATCTAATTTTTTCCTTTTTTTAATTCTTCAACATTTTTGTATAATCCGTAGTTTCGTTTATCTATTACCAATTCAACTCATATTAAATATTACTAAAATTACATAAAGAAAAATTAATTTAAAAACTTCACACTTTTCTACTACAACTCGTGTCCTAATTATGTGCATTACTTTTAATGGATAATAAAACATTGTTACTATAACATAATTTTATTCGTCAATACCTTGGAATCTTACAATGTACTGAAATATTCAGCAAACTTAACTCTTATTTGTAATGGAGTTAGGGAGGTTCCTTTTGCAACTGGAGGCAGATTAAAAAGTGCCCTATAAGAATCGTTCCTCTTCTCTCTCTAGGCCCATCTACCCATTTATTATTTCTATAAGAATCTGGAAGTCATATGAATCTACTTTGGATCAGAAATAATTTTAAAAAGATTGACGATATAACAAAAGCCAGCTCTTGACTCAAGTGCCCTCACAAACGTTTTGTTACATATTTCAGACAATTTTACTTGAAATGATAAAAAAGTAAAGTTGAGCTTCAGCTTATATACATCTCATTGCGGGGCTCCATCCCAATTCCAATAGGGTTTTAGGGCAAAGAAACGTCCAGCGCGCCAATACGTGTTGGCGGACCTCACATGTCTTCGAAATATTGTTTGATTATTCAGAAACATGAAAATTTCCTCACGATGTTTTCTTACGTCCAATGTTTTCGTTACAAGGACGTAGTATTTTTTATTATTTTTATCATTTTGTTAATTATATTTAAAAATCACACAACTAAATTAAATTCTGTAATTAAAAGCAGTTAGGTATATATAATAATAACCTCCTCCAGACCGAATTTCGGTCACGGCGGCCAGCCTCAACGGAGACTAGCCATTGGCGCAGGACGGGATCATAGTGACCGAGTATATGCGCATTGCGCAAGCACAGATGCACTCTCTATTCCCTCACTGTCATAATCCGACGGGCCAGTAAACCGACGCGACCGGAGGCAGATCAGGCGCAGGACCAACGGCTTTACTCGCTTTCCGAGGCACGGGGGTGAGACACCGTCAAGTTTTTGACTCTGGGCAGCTACAGAAAATTTCTTGAAGGAAAAACTCAATAATTGATTTTTCGGGCCAACCCGGGATTTGAACCTAGAACCTCATGATTAGCAGTCGCACTACTACAACCACTAGACCAACAAAGCAGTCCACGTATATATAACAGAGGTATGAAATCCCAAAAAATAGTCGTCCATTCTGTGAGCCATCTTTGTGATAAATGTGAGTGCAAATGTTTGAAAACAAGTATAGCAAATGTATATGCGTTTCCGTTTACGCTCAAAAACGTTAATCAAAATTTTAAAATAGTTTGTTAAAAATTTGCTCACGTGTCTAGTGCCAGGGTTATACTAGACGTAGAATATGTCGGGAAGCAGCTTAAATGTTGTGAGAAGCTTGGAACATCGATCGCCAATCCACTTGCTAAACGTGGCGATACAGACGAATCCTTCGTAACGGGAGTTCATATCCAGCAGTGACCTGTTATAAGCTGATGAATAAGATTACATAGATTCTGATTTAAAAGTTCCGATAGTAATGTAATAAATATAGAAATTAAATTTATACGGGGTAGGGCCACGCTTCAGATATATTATGGTTGTAGCATAAATAGGTCTGCTCGGCCTGGGTAGGACCACGCTCTCACAGAATATCAACGTAAAATAGCAGCTTAATGCTGCTGTGTTTCGTATAGTGAGTGTAGAGAACCGGGGACCTATTTTAATGGAAACGAGGCACTTCATTTTTCAGGTTTCAGGGGTGAAAACACGTCAACATTTTGATTATTAATTGATATTAAATGTGGATGTATATGGGCCACAGCAACCACTTACCATCAGGTGAACTGTGTGCTCGTTTGTTACCCTTATTCTATAAAAAAAAAACATGGCCGATTCGCAGTCTTCCAATTCTATAGCTTCTAAAAAAAGAAAATGGCTTTATATGAAACTCTATAATCTATTACAAATCAAAATAAAAAGCAGCTTTAATTGTTTATTTAATGTACGTAGAACTACCCAATACAAATTAGCCGTAGTTATAAAACAACACTGAAATCCTTTGGGAAATCAACTTAAAACTAGTGACGGGTACGCTATCTCACTTACTTGATAATAATATTATTGCAGGAAAAGTATACAACGTACCTTTATACTATTGCTTTTATAATAATATTTAAATAATAGTTAGGTTTCTGCGTCATAAAATATATATATATATATATATATATATATATATATATATATATATATATATATATATAGCAATGCG